TATTGTTGTATTAGGTATTTAATTATTGTTGTATTAGGTATTTAATTATTATTGTATTAGGTATTTAATTATTACTATTATTGTGGCATTTAATTTGTTACATGAGACAATGAAGTGGAAATTTAAAACAGTCAGTAGGTTGAAATGTTAAGTTAAATGTGATAAATCGCGCTGATAATAGGCGCTCTAAACGAGGTGGAAGAATTATTACAGAAGCTCAGCGTGTCGCAGAAAAGATTACAGTTTATTTAATCATTAAAACGGCCGCAGTGAATGCGACAGGATTTAGGAAAGAATTACTTTTTACTTTTATCGTAGAGTTTGAGAAAGCCACAACCATTTACAGAAAAATGAATAATTTTGGAAAAGAAGAAACGATTATTCGAGTCTCGCTTGATTTCATAGTTGTTGGCAATCGACGACTATGAAAACGAGCCACGAGGTTCGAATAATCGCATCCCCTCTTCCCAAATTGTTCATTTTTGCTCGCAAGCTGAAGGTCGATTATCGAAAATTTACTATACGATGAAAACGTATTCATCCAGCATAATGAAACGAGTTTCCAATAGCTCTTAGAACTAATTAGACCTTGACATAACCCAGCAAGAAAATATTCTTTACAACCGCACGATGTAAATTCATCTTGATCCACAAATTCTCGAGTTATTCCACGAATCTGTGCATTCGCGACGACTGTCTCAGATCGCGTCGATGCTCGACGTTGTCCGGAGTTGCAGCTGCAGATCCCTTCCGCCCTTTGTTGCACTCTTCTCGCAGCGCAGCCGTTCGACTCGCGGCTTGTATCGCGACCTAAATGTCTCGGTTTCTACGGTTAGATGCCAAACATAATAACCGATTACCAAGATAACTGGTCCACCTATTTTCGAGCCAAGAGCCGCATTAATAATAGAGGTGTTGCGTCATTGTTCGACCTTGGACGTCTTGGAAAATATGCTTGGAGTCTCGGATTCCACGAAAATCCGCCGCTCGGCACGCTCCGGTCCCTTCCGTCGTTCCCCCATTGTTCTTCGCGACATCTTGCCCGTCGTCTCTTCCTTTCGATCCGATCTTAAACCCGTTGCCTCCCAGTCGCAAACGCTCGCGGAGTCAACTTTATAGCAGCAGTCGCGATTCCGCGGACGCTGGACGCTGGACCGCAGGTTATTCCGAAAATCGAGGATTTTTGCTCAGCTTATTTTCGCCCTTTTGCATATTTTATCGATTCGTGAGATCATTCGGATCGTTTATCGTTCGCTTTGCATCATCCCGCAATTTTCTTGTTCCTATTCTCAGTGTTACAACTCAGTGTCACAATGCATCTGGTTCACTCGTAGCATTAGTAACGCTATATCGACGGCGAAGCGTTAATTTAGCCAACTTTAAGTTATAACTATAAGCTAAATTAAACTAAAAAGGCTAAGAAACTATTAGTTAAAACTATAGCTTGAAGATTGATCTTAGTTTCTACGATTCCGTCACCAAAATCCGCAGTTACGCCAATGCAAGTCGATTTTTTTCAGCGACAATGTGATTGTAAAACGACGTTACGTAACACGCTAATTTTTTTAGCGTTAATTTTCTTCGCTCTCCGTATGTTATGTTGAGCTTAGACTCGTTTTTTCACCAAATAAAAAACAAATAAATGGAAAGATCGCTCGATCTCGATCGCGTCTTCGCGGAAGTATTTACAGCGCGGTGGACCCTTTGTTACAGAAAGTGCAACAATAGCGAGTGCACGAGTACGAGCGTATGATAACAATAACAATAATAATAATAATAATGAAAATAATCGATACCATTAAAACTGAATCTATCATAGTTGGTCGAAACGATCAGTTTCACATCTTTCGTTTAAAAATTGTCAAATCTATAAAGACGCTTTCGTAGAGAATAGTTAAATAAATATATTTCGAATCAAACGATCAAGATAAAAATGACGAAAAGTTGAACCGAATTCAGTCTTGTTATTTCTACAAAGCACCGCGCGTCATTCACTTTTAGGGCTCGGCACATTTGAGCCGTTTATTTTGAAAGTGGCATAAGTCTCTTTGTTTTTAAGTCGATATACTATATTTAAGGGTTTGCGTTTTAACACGTTTAAAAATATGTATGCTAACTTTCGAGAAGATTTACTTGTATTCGTTATNCAGAAAGTGCAACAATAGCGAGTGCACGAGTACGAGCGTATGATAACAATAACAATAATAATAATAATAATGAAAATAATCGATACCATTAAAACTGAATCTATCATAGTTGGTCGAAACGATCAGTTTCACATCTTTCGTTTAAAAATTGTCAAATCTATAAAGACGCTTTCGTAGAGAATAGTTAAATAAATATATTTCGAATCAAACGATCAAGATAAAAATGACGAAAAGTTGAACCGAATTCAGTCTTGTTATTTCTACAAAGCACCGCGCGTCATTCACTTTTAGGGCTCGGCACATTTGAGCCGTTTATTTTGAAAGTGGCATAAGTCTCTTTGTTTTTAAGTCGATATACTATATTTAAGGGTTTGCGTTTTAACACGTTTAAAAATATGTATGCTAACTTTCGAGAAGATTTACTTGTATTCGTTATCTCGGGATACTGATATTTTTCTCAGTATAAATAATTTCGTATAAACGATTAAAAAATCACCACTTTTCATTTAGCGGCTCATTTAGCGTTAATGAGAAGAATCGAGTTATAGAAACAGTTGATCGAGGTCCAAAGTGCATAATGAAAATAATGCGATCGAATCGTCGAAGAAATCTAGATCGATTCTCGGAGACGCGGAATCCGCCGCGGGTCCCGGCGAGCAGGAAACGTTTCACCGTTCGAATTACATAAAGGTCTATTTTGGATTTGTAAGTGGCGATATATCATTTCTCGGATTTGGATGTAACGCGAGGAAATATAATAATTTGGCCCGCGCAGCCCTGCGATTTGGTAACGGGAGAAGACGACTCGCCCGCGTATCCGAGGCCCGTCGTCCTCCGACTTCTTAATCTCTCGGACGATTAATCTTCTATTCGGCGACGCGGGCCCGTTAACGACCGTGAGACCGTGAGCGAGAGACCCCCCGTCCCATCTCTCGTCGCTCATCCCCGTCCCTCTCTGCCCGTCCCTTCTCGCCGCTCCTCGGGATGAACCGACTAAAATTGATACAGAAAAGCCGCGATGCCGAGGACAGAGTCGCTGCCCGTTTCCTCTATACTTTCCGTAATTCGACACCGTTACGTAATCGACGCCGCCAAACACGCACGGCCGTGTATCTTTGTTTTGCATTCCGCCGCGAAACAACGAACCGCGAAACGCCAGTCCGATTGGCCAACCGGTTTTCATCCGGGATCCCACGGTTTTTCGCAGTTTTCCTTGCCGTGCACGAGAACATTTTATCTGCGCGAGGCGTGCAACTTCTGCTGACACAGTTTTTTAATATATATACATATATAATAATAATAACAATAATAATAATATATTGTACAATATAATATATTATATAAATATAACAATATATATTATAATAATATAATATTTGTATCATAAGCACCCCGTATATGTTATTAAATTATTATATATATAATATATATATATATATATATATAATATAGAATAATAAAATATTATAGTATATAATATCGTAATATAATAATAATATATATATATATTATTATTATATTATTATATTACGATATTATATACTATAATATTATTATTATATATATATATATATATATATAATAATTTAATAATACATAATAATATATATATATATATATATATATATATATATATATATTATAATATTATTATGATAAAAATATTTATTTTTGGTGCAAATTGGGTCGGCTAGATTCTATGATTTCGATTCTAAGACGGAAATAAAAAATAAGAGAATTGCGTGGGAGGCTTCGTTCTCGAGAAAATTGAATATCAGTCGAGTATACGCGTACTTAATTAACAATTGCCAATTATAGACCGCCAGTACGATCGTTCGCATACATGATGCAACGTGGGTGCTTGTTTACTGTCAGGATACAATCGAAGAATGCATTTAGCACGGGATACTAAAGTAATCGGTGTATTTTCCGTGAAAAAGTCGAAAACCGTCAGTTGTTTTTGCGAGGTTGCACAATGAAGATTAATACATATTTATAATCATTATCTCGTTTTCGAGATGAACAAGTCCCAAGATTATTACTAGATTCGCGTGGCCTTAGAATACGACAAGGAGTAGAATTGGTACGTTATGATCAGACGCGCCGGTCGATTCCTATTAACTTATTTCTCCTCTTAATACACATTTCTGAGAAATTAGAATTACGATATAAGTGACACGATTTTTAGAACACTCGATACCTTTTCGAAGGAATCTGCGCGATTGTATAGCTCCGTAAAATGAGACGAGATGTTTGCATCATTCTATGCGCACCGAGCATGGAACAGGTGGAGATGGAAGCGACGGAATAAGCGGATAGAACGAACGAATGAACAGAATGAGCAATGAGATCCATGCTAACTCTATTTATTATATATATTTAAGTTATATTTATAATATTTAAATTATATTTATAATTTAAATAATATAAAGAATTACGGGAAAATTTTATTCGAATAAAGGATTACGCGAATATTTTATTTGAATGAAGAATTATTCGAATTGTTTCGAATTAAGAATTATTCGAATTGTTTCGAATGCACATCTATCCAAGATAATCATCCGAATGAATTCTTTCTAGAAGAATATTTTATTCGAATAACGATTCGTTAAAAATTATTCTACCCATTTACTCTACTAAAGAATACAATATCCGACTAAAAAGAATTAAATTCAGATTATTATCACAGATAAACATTAATTCGAAACAGTTCGAATAATATCCAACTCTGTTCAATGGATCATATACGAAATTTACGGCGCTCCTCATTTTAAACAGCGCGAATAAAATAAGTGAAATAAATAAAATAAAAATAAACCAGCGACTAATTATGACCGATTGTCTGTTGTTTAGATCGAATAAGGAGGCCTCCGTCTCGCAATAGGAGGCGCGGTCGCGATCCACGCGGATCGAGGGTGATAAGGATAGGTTGGATGGTGCCGCGGGTCGGCGCCGTTTGAACCAATCTCGAGGAGGATCGGTCCTGGTCCGGCTCGTCGAACGTGAACGAGAAGAAGGCCCGTGAAGGGAGGGTGGCTCGCCACCCCCGTGAGATTTCGCGGTAAAGGGGAGTAGAGGTGCGAAAGGCGACCCGTCGCCATGGGGGTCGCCGACGATTTCGCGCCGAGCTTCACCCAGAAGCCGCAGCTCAGGCAGGAGGACGACGGGAATCGTCTGATCTTCGAGTGTCAGCTGGTCAGCGCCCCGAAACCGGAGATATCATGGTTCCGGGGCGAGACCGAGCTCAGCCCGGACGGCAGGACCAACTTCAAGATGCAGAGCGTCGGGACCAACAAGTTCATGGTCGTCCTGGAGCTAGACGACGTCATCGAGACGGACGCGGGCCTCTACAAGGTCAAGGCCAAGAACAAAATGGGCGAGGTCGCGGCTTCGATTAATCTTAATTTCAGTCGTGAGTACCTTGCACTTTACCACCGGCTAACTTAGCTCGACACGCCCCTCCCCCCTCATCTTGTTCGTCTTAAACGAAAGATTCATTTTCTAATAGAGTCGTTCGCGATTCCCTCCGAATTCCGTTCGGTCTCTAATCAGTTCCTTCGAGACCGCGGACGACCTCTATCATGAATGGACTGCAGATTTTTATGCAGAATATTAATTTTCTGCGTCTTCTGCGAGAAACAACTGCCGCTTCGGCATCTCTTTGCTTCTTCGATACATTTTAACGAGTTTCAATTTATTCATTATTATTAATTATTTAATCGATATTCAACAATTCTTTGAATACTTTGACTGGCTACAGTAAGGAGCAAAAGTGTTTAACCTTTTAAAACGGTACAACTTGTTTTCAAACTGGTCTGAAAATGGTTTGGATTTTTTGTTTGTAAACGTTAGAGGAATCAGTCCACTGGGCAGTGACTAAAAAATACCTTTCTTTCCATTTTGCTATCATTTGAAATAAAACGAAACGTAAGGGAACTCTCGTCTTTTTTCACTTCAGATTTTGACTGCTTATAACAACATCGACCGATTTCAATAAAGTTTTTAGCGCGTGTATAAATTCCCAAGAAGCACCAAATGCATTTTTTAAGCCTTCGTTACAGACTGAGAATGAAAAATTGAAGAAATAAGATCTCTCTTGCATTCTTTTTATTCCAAGTAATAGAAAAATTCAAGAAGAAAGTATTTTAGTTATTGTACAGTCCCTCTAACAGCAGTAGTTCTTCCTGTACAGTCCTTCAATCTTTAAACCCTTCGCAGTCGGTCTCAACCTTAACTAGCCCTTCCAACATTTACAAAACGATTCAAGTGATTTGGACCAGTTTTGAAAAGAGTTACACCGTCTCAAACGATGCGTGGACACTTTTATCATTCATTTTTCCCACGAATGCATAAAAGATCCGCGGTCCAATCACGAACCACGTAGACGTTTTTGCATCGAAACGTTCGGTCGCGAGTCGACGAGCAGAATTGAAACGATGTTTCGTTGTTTTACAGCTGTCGACGAGCCTAGGGAGAAGTAAGTCCGTTGTTTTGCGGAAATTCCGATCGTGTGCCGCTTCTCTGGGCTCTGATTTTCGTTATTTTACGCCAGCTTTCGACCCTTGGACCGTCGACCACCCTATTCGCTCGAATCCAGCCGGATCAGCTGGAACGTCGCGATCAACGTTGATTAACATTGATTAACATCGATTAAGAAGTCGGTGTACTTGAAGCTAGCGGCAAGGATCGGAGGTCCAAGGGTCGACGCTTACGTTTCTCCGTTTCTTTGGCTCGCTTCAACCATTACGCTTTTTTTCTGTTGTTGCTTTTCAGCTGCTGTGGAGCCGATTAGGCGAGGGTGAGTCGCGGTTGCTCCCTAACGCTTTCGCCCGCGTGCGTTAACCGTGTGCGTTTTCGTGTGCGTTTTCGTGCCCGTTAACCGTGTGTGTCGCGTCCCAGATTGTTCGACGAACTTTCGAGTAGAGCGAGCGACAGGCGCAACGAGTGGTTCCGTCGATAATGTTTAGGTGCACGTCAAATGCGGTTGGACAAAAATAACCGTCGCGGAATGCTCGCTATTCTTGGGCGCGTTCACGTGCGCTCGCGAGAGAGCGCGTGAAAGAAAGAGTGAGAGAGCGAGTGAGAGAGAGAGAGAGAGAGGAAGAGTGTATGTATTTGCGTGCATGCGTGTGTGTGTGTGTGTGTGAGAGAGAGAGAGCCTGTTAGCGCGCGTCCGATAACAGCAGCGACACGGCTATGCCTCTTCTAGCTGGCTGATCGTTCAATTTTCTTCTTCTGCCCACGCATACGGGGCTGACTGGCCCGCTTCGAAATAGCACCGGGAACCTCTCTTTTTCTATTTTCATCCCTAATCGCTTCGCCGGCCGCACGATTCAGGCCACCCGCGATTTTCCGCGGTACTTTCGCAACATGTACGACGCACTCGCTGCGCTCTCGGCCCGACGAGAAACCGAATCGAAGCTCGCGTCTTAACGCTAAATTTACGGAACTTCGTCGAAGCGACGGATCGCTAATTTCCTTTAATTCGCGATTATTCGGATCGTATAAATACGAGCTTTTCTTATCGGTTATTTATTTTTTATCGCCGCGTCACTCGCGGCAAATGTTACACCCGTCGAGAATCGGAACAAATGTTCTTATCGTTGCTTTTATATAAACTAATATGAAACAGCTGTTTCCGGTGCTCCGTAAAGCTACCGTTAACGAAACGTTATCCGACGTTGAACTGTACTAGATACAGATACGTGCTGTAGAATTGTTGGAACGCGAGAGAATAATCCTCTTTCGCTGTTCGAAACGCTCGAAATTCACACGGTCTCTTTGAATCGGCTGCTATCATCTCATTAAATCGTTCTAAATGCTTAATGCCTCTAAAGATGGATATTTACGGAATGGAATAATAGAACGCTCTAATAGAGTGGAATAAAGTGGAATAAAGCGGAATAGAGTTGCAGCTACTTGCTCGTGAAGTATCCACCCTTCGCGGTCGCTGCCATTTTAACTCGAAATCCAAAATAGTTTCTCCGACCTATACTATCTCTCCATTTTACATAACCCAGCGCATTCTATGCGTATGTATTCGAATTTTGCGGCTCAAGCGACGGGAACAGTTTCGATGGTTCTTTATTTAAATGACATTAAAATTATCTCGAAACGTAACACGACAATTTTTAGTCGCACCTTCGAAGTCAGCACGCGATTACATTACAGCGTTAAGATCGCGAAAATCCTGCAAAACTTACGAAACTTTCTCGATTCGTTTGGTCACTTGCTTACTAAATAGATCGCGGATTTTACGCGTTTATGGCAAAAATAAATCAGCGAAGAACCAAGCACCGAAGACATCGGAAGAATTTCAAACAACGTTGCTACGTTATTTCCCAGTTCTTGGAACTGTTCGAAGAAGAAATAGATTGTTATTTAACACCTGTTTCGTAGAATTGATGCGCGAAATTTTTGATTTGCACAGAGATCCGCGACTTTTCCTTGCGACTGTGCCGCGGATCATTGTGCAAAATAAAAATTGTTTGAAATGCAACAAACCGAGGTTAAATAGAAATTGATTCGTTTTCTTGATATATTTAATAAGCTGAAAATATTGCGAGGAAACGGTCTTGAATCGTTTCTTTTTCGAGTCTACTTATGGCTTGTTCTACAGCTATAGTGATCAGAACTTCGTTATTCACGATTTCCAGTGTTCACGATTTTCCTTTTCTAACGATCATCCATCGATAAAAGAAAATGCTCTGCATATTCAACACTAAACCTACCAAGCAGTAATACTAACTGGCATGTACTGCTTCACAAAAGTGAGAAGACCGAATTCATCTAGAATTTGTAAAGTTTTTATTATAAAACTCTTGCTCCAATAATATAACTTATTCGAGCGTTTACCACGAAAGAGTCTCGGAACTTTTTGCTGAATTGCAAAATAAGAAAGCGGTCACTTCGACCGCGGTAGGTTTGGTGTTAAGAAAATCGATTCGATATTAAAAGGCGAGTCGTCGAGATCAGCTTACGAAAGGACTCGGACACTCGAACGTTTCGAAGCGGGCCGAGCTCGGATTAACGAGGCGCCGCGTTGAAGCCTGTTTCGTCGAGTTTCGGGTGTAAGCAGCCGGAATTGGGTCGAAAGTTGGTTCTCCGGGGGCCATCGCGACGAGACGTTGTATTTTCGGAGCGGATCGACAGACGTGATTCCCGTGAATTTCTAAAAGTAACGCGAGCCTTCGACGCGCGTTTCACCGCTTCCGAATATTNAGTGGAATAAAGCGGAATAGAGTTGCAGCTACTTGCTCGTGAAGTATCCACCCTTCGCGGTCGCTGCCATTTTAACTCGAAATCCAAAATAGTTTCTCCGACCTATACTATCTCTCCATTTTACATAACCCAGCGCATTCTATGCGTATGTATTCGAATTTTGCGGCTCAAGCGACGGGAACAGTTTCGATGGTTCTTTATTTAAATGACATTAAAATTATCTCGAAACGTAACACGACAATTTTTAGTCGCACCTTCGAAGTCAGCACGCGATTACATTACAGCGTTAAGATCGCGAAAATCCTGCAAAACTTACGAAACTTTCTCGATTCGTTTGGTCACTTGCTTACTAAATAGATCGCGGATTTTACGCGTTTATGGCAAAAATAAATCAGCGAAGAACCAAGCACCGAAGACATCGGAAGAATTTCAAACAACGTTGCTACGTTATTTCCCAGTTCTTGGAACTGTTCGAAGAAGAAATAGATTGTTATTTAACACCTGTTTCGTAGAATTGATGCGCGAAATTTTTGATTTGCACAGAGATCCGCGACTTTTCCTTGCGACTGTGCCGCGGATCATTGTGCAAAATAAAAATTGTTTGAAATGCAACAAACCGAGGTTAAATAGAAATTGATTCGTTTTCTTGATATATTTAATAAGCTGAAAATATTGCGAGGAAACGGTCTTGAATCGTTTCTTTTTCGAGTCTACTTATGGCTTGTTCTACAGCTATAGTGATCAGAACTTCGTTATTCACGATTTCCAGTGTTCACGATTTTCCTTTTCTAACGATCATCCATCGATAAAAGAAAATGCTCTGCATATTCAACACTAAACCTACCAAGCAGTAATACTAACTGGCATGTACTGCTTCACAAAAGTGAGAAGACCGAATTCATCTAGAATTTGTAAAGTTTTTATTATAAAACTCTTGCTCCAATAATATAACTTATTCGAGCGTTTACCACGAAAGAGTCTCGGAACTTTTTGCTGAATTGCAAAATAAGAAAGCGGTCACTTCGACCGCGGTAGGTTTGGTGTTAAGAAAATCGATTCGATATTAAAAGGCGAGTCGTCGAGATCAGCTTACGAAAGGACTCGGACACTCGAACGTTTCGAAGCGGGCCGAGCTCGGATTAACGAGGCGCCGCGTTGAAGCCTGTTTCGTCGAGTTTCGGGTGTAAGCAGCCGGAATTGGGTCGAAAGTTGGTTCTCCGGGGGCCATCGCGACGAGACGTTGTATTTTCGGAGCGGATCGACAGACGTGATTCCCGTGAATTTCTAAAAGTAACGCGAGCCTTCGACGCGCGTTTCACCGCTTCCGAATATTAGCCGCTCTCCCTCGCAAAATTGTTTCGCGTTTCGTGGCGAGGGCCGATCGCGGATCGCGGATCGCGAATCGCGAATCGACCGGACGACCCACGACAAGTCGGTGGAAACAGCTGCAGCCTACTTCTTCGCTAAAGTTAGGCTCGCGTGTTCGCCTTTGCGCTCTCCTCTCGCGCGATCTCGTTCCGAACGAACGATCGTGTTCCCTCCCGTTTCTTTATTTTCCGTCGCGACCCTATAAACTCTTTTACTCGCCGCTCGTAAAGTCGCGGAAAGAAGCCCGCAGAAAATGGCCGCTCTCTTGTCTGCCACAGAAGATGCTCACGTCGAAGATAATTGCACCAAATGGCGCATCTGCGATCGAAAATGCTGCACTGTTTTCTGCATTCTTCTTGAAATTCCGCGTAATACTTTCTCCATTTTTATTTCATGTTTCAATTCTTGTGTTGGGAACCAAATTTGTAGGTTTAATTTCAAAGCTACGAGTCTTTTTGCATGCATTATTAGCTCTTGTATGCGCGGTCTAAATATTTACAATATTGGAACTTAGTTATTTAAATTGTTTCATGTGTATTTTGTATTGGCAACCAAATTTTTAGGTAATTTTTTAGCTATGAGTTTTTTTCATACTACATGTTATTAACTCTTGTATGCTCAGTCTAAATATTCACGATATTCGAAGCTTAGTTATTTAAAATGTTTCATATACATTTTGTACTGGCAACCAAATTTGTGGGTAATTTTAAAACAATGAGTCTTTTGCATACTATATGTTATTGGTATGCACAGTCTAAATATCCACAATATTTGAAGCTTAGTTATTTAAAATATTTCATATATATTTTGTACTGGCCAATCAACTTTGTAGGTAACTTTATGAGTCATTTCTCATACATTATTAACCCTTGTACGCTCAGTCTAAATATCCACGATATTCGAAGCTTAATTATTTAAAATATTTTATATACATTTTCTTTTCGTGATACGTTAAACGATGCAAAAAATTGCTAATATTGCTAATTTCCTAAAAAGTTGCTCAAAATTACCGAAGAAAAAAATAAGAATCCGGGTTATTGTACAATATAACGTAGGTTTACTCGATGCAACGGATTGCTGCGATAACGTTCAAAGAACGTGGACAGAATATTTTCGGATATTTTTGGGAGAACATGAAAATTCTCGGAAGGGTTACGGTAAACTCGGTTGCCAACGCAGAGGTTAGATCAACAAATTGTATCTGAACGTGAACGCGAAGAAATGAAGAACGTTCCGCGGTGTCTAAAAACAGAAAATGGGCGCGCGAAGTTCAGAAGCTTGCGACGAATGGGAAACCGACGCGTTGATGTTCTATGCCTTAGAGAACAGTCGCCGATGTTCCCGCGATCGCAAATGCGCGTCCCTTAACCGTTTCGTCTTCGGATATCGACGTCGTATCCGCTACTATCGGGGAACAAACGGGGAATTTTCGGGGAATCGCGCGTTGAATGGGCGCTGGCCGTTGAACCCGGGTATTAAAGAGGGTCTTTATTGATGGGACGTCGCTGAGGCCGGCCATTAGAGACTCTCTTCCTGCTAGGTAACAACGAGGCCGCAGTGCGATACCGCTGGTCTGTAGACAGGGCTGACTAAACAAAACAGAAAAGTTATTCCTGGCATCGGCCACCGCATAATCGCGGCGATCCTCCTCTAGGAAGAGTCCGTCGAGCGTAGAAAATGGTTGGTTCCCGTGTTGCCAAGCGGCCGAGCCTCGTCACATCAAGTACTCGGACGCGACGCGACGCGACACGAGACGGCTTCTTGACAAGCGAATGACAATTGCCGAAGAAACTCGACGCGAGACATCGTTGCCCGCTAAACGATCCCGACGCAGCGGCTCGTTGGGCTCGTCTCCCGTCGTGTTCTCGACGATCTGGCGATAAATAGATCCGCGAAACGGATTACGTTCCTAATACCGGTGCTAGGTGATCGCGGGCCGTGGAAACAATTGGATAAGGACAAGGACGACGACAGGAGTTGGCCGAGATTTCGTCGACGATGAACATTTCTCGCGCTGTTACGATTTTCAGACGGATTTTCGCGGACGACGGGAGACAGAGGCGAAAATTTGATCGTCCGTAATGATTTATTTGTTTGTTGAATATTTATTTGTCGAACATATACAGGAAGTTAGTGGTTAGTTATAAAATTGCGTGAAAAAAAATAGAAAATACGAAGGTTTAATTGAATTGAGAATGACTTGATGCAGAGTTAAAGTAAAAAATAAAAATAAAAAAGAATAAGATTATTGTAATTCCTTGAATTAATACGATAAATCTGATTCAGAAAGGAAGCTAAAGAATTTTGAATTACGTGTGCAGGTTCTAGAGCCTTTAGTGCGCCAGAAATAGTAAAAATGATGCAACAATTATGCACAAATTGTACGGAATCTATGCAGAGCCATCGTAGGATCGTAATTAGTTGCATTTGAATTTTAAAAACGTGGAAAGAACGATTGCATTGACCATTATTAGTTTTATGAAACTCTTGTCTTAACAAAGAATAATGTCTTAAGGTGACTCGGGAAGTATTCAAGTTGAAATCGGACGAAATGTCCAGACTAGAAAGGCAGCCTTAAACGCTAACAATAATTCACAATTAATTTATTCATTCGTTAAAGAGTCGCTAGTAAATAGCCTCGCATGATGAATAGACAGCGGACTTCATACAAAAGTGATTAAGCGAAATTTAGCACATTAAATGCATCGGAAAAATTAACTTATTCAAATCAACTTATTAAAATAGTTGAGAGTGAAAATAAACTATTTAAGACGTGGTCTAATATCGATGTCTAAAAAAGTGGCTGGTATGTATCGCCTCGAAGAAAATATAAGATTAAATTTATTTAAATTTCTCCCAATTTTTATAACAATAGGTGCGCACATTTTTAAAAAATTTCAATGGAAATAGCTTCATAATTTCATTGATCAGCAACGGTACGTTTAGCGTTAACTCACGCGGTGTATTTTTATTTCGAACAAAAATCCGCGGTGCAACGATTAATTCAACAGAACAGAATTAATTTAACATCGTCATTTTACTATTAATCCTAATTAGGCACCTCGAGCCTAACACCCGCGTGTCCAAAAATGGCGAACCGTGTCGCCGCTGTTTCCGCAACATGGGAAATCGTGTCGCGTCTGATCGAGCGCCGACCTGTTCTACTGACCGCACATTCGTCGAACATTCTACTAACAGTTTAACGAATTAGCGACCCAACTAATCGTTTGCCGGTGTTGCAACGAGCGTAACAGCTGTTGTCGCGCGTAACAACTCGCGCGACACGGCTGTCCCGCGTCTGTCTCTGTGTGCGGCCATGCGTGAGATATTGTGGCAACAAGCGTAACAGCTTCGATAATCGGCTCTTACAATTCTTGATCGCCGGTTACAGACAAATCGACGGCATCGCGCCAACTTTCGCGAAAAAGCCCGCAATCAGACAGGAGGACGATGGTAAACGACTACTTTTCGAATGTCGCATCACAGCCGATCCCACGCCAAAAGTTACGTGGTTTCACGATGGAAGTATGGTCAAAGACTCACCGAGGCACAAGGTTAGCCAACCCGCGAGCAACACGTTCGTTTCGTTTAGGTTCTTTTAGTTATAATTTTAGCTTTTCTTTTTTCTTGCTTTTAGTTTTAGCTTTTTCGTTCAATTTCTTCCAATCTTTTGCATTCCATGGAGAACAATCTGGCCTAAGAAAATCTCTTGGCGGCAAGCGCCGTTACAGAAACTTCATTTCTAGAATTCGACGCGGCGTCGACTGCCACGTACTTTACGAGAATTTTATTACGCGTTCGCGTTTAACGTATAATAATAGCCGGCGACTTCGCTTCGCTAAGTTGTCCAAATGTTTCGTAATAGGGACGCGCGTTTGATCTTAGAAACCTATCTCCAGCGAAAAGTTTATCGAGTTCCTTTTTGTCGAGTTTAGTGCGCGACGAACTATAATATAATGTATAATCCATTCGCTGGATTAAAACGACCGGTTTTGAACTTTGGCTTAAGAAACGAGAAATTCTCGACGGTAAATTCGCGATTCGAGCGCCCGTCGAACGGGCCGTTTCGCGCGTCGTTAATCCTTCGTCGCACGTTGTCGTTAATCCTGCCGTGGTAATTTCAGCTGACCGTCGACAAAGATGGCCACTCGTACTTCGCGACGCTGGAAATTAAGAATGTGACCGTCGAGGATGCTGGCAAATACAAGGTCACCGCGAAGAACGAGCTCGGCGAGTCTAACGCCACCATTTCCTTAAACTTCGACAGTAAGTACCATATTAAATCGGCTGATTTATCGCTACCTGTGTACTCATATACGACGACGACACGTTTCACGTTTGCCTCGGCCACTTTAACTTGTTATACGAGTACCGCAGTTTATGGATCTTGCGAATGGATCCGTTCCGCGAATTTTGCCTGTCTTCGCGGACTGTTTTACAAAGACACAGAATGAAGAGATAATCTGACCTGCGGATTTTATGCATTCGCATGTGATACAAAAATAGACAGGTGTAATTTGAGACGACGAAATTGTTGAACAAATTTAAGGGCACGTCATGTTCAATTCACTGAAATTATTCGAGGAAGAAAGAAATTTCTATCCGACCGACGTTTGTCGCAATCGACGACAAAGTTTGAACGCAATCGACGGTCATTTTTATTTTGCATAAAGAGATATAGTGTACTCGAAATTGTTTAGAGATCCATAGTGTACTCGAAATGCATAAATATCCATAATGTGTTCTCGTAATGCATAAAGATCCATAATGTGTTCGCAATGCATAAAGATCCACGATATACTCGTAACGCATAAAGATCCATAATGTACTCGTAGTTTATAAAGATTCATAATGTACTCGTAATGCAAGAAGATCCACAACAAGCTCGTAAAGCATAAAATAAAACAATCGCGATGGGAAGCTTGCAAACGTGAACCGGTTCGATCGGCATCCATCTCACTCCACTTTACGTTGCCTTTCACTCATTCGGGATGTATATCGATGATCCTCTCTATGTATATCTTCAGCCACACGCTTTGACATCTTCAGTGTCTTCACTCTGACCAACAAGTGTCACCCTGTCTCACGTTTCGTCCACGACGAGTCAACCTCGCTGTCTTTATTACATATTTTTTCCGTAATTCCAACCATCTCTCTTTCAAACATTTAATTGCCTGTTTCACATTTTTTTCTCTTTCTGTCTCCATCTCTCTCTCTGTGTCTGTTCTTCTCCGTTTCACACCGATTCATTTTATTTTTTAATGGTTTATCTCGGTCGAGCAATGAGCACGTATCGATTGTCGGCTCGACGGAGCGACGATATACAGCCCGGTGGTTGATCGTGGTCGATCGGCCAAGAGGAGCAAAATGACCAGGATCGTAGAGATCATAACGATTCTGATATTTCTGTTAATAATCTCAGTAACTAGTAAAACGCTGCTTGTATCACGAATTAATATATCGATCGAGCCGCGTGGCCGCCCGCGGGGCCCGAGAAGTCTCGGGGCCCCCGCGCCGGACCCCGCGGCTCGATCCACACGTCACGCTGGCGCTTTTTTGACATTAGGTTGCTGCAGTCGCGCACATTTTTGTTCTATTTCGTTCGAGAGAGCGCGCGCCCATTGTTTTGCACGTGTTGGTTCTGTGAGAATACGTAGTCGCAGTCGACGCACTCGGGATTTTGTAATATTATTTGAGAACCGTCCGAAGAAAAAACCGAACGCAACGCAACCGCACACGCTAAGCACCGATCCCCGGCATCCGCGCGTCACAGCCGCGTGCCGGGGGTCCCGGCGTTTCAGTTAATTAAATAGTTTGCGCACTTACTTACAATCGAAGGGAGTCCGCCGAGATCTCTCGTTGGACCGGCGCACGGAACGCCGGTGCGATCGCACACGCGTTGGACGAACGGTAGACGTTTTAACTCGCTTAACAAACCAAGTTGTTGTCGTGCTGTCTTTGAGAAACACTCTAAACAAACTCACCAAAAACCGATTAATTCTCACATCCGTACGTAAAACCGGCGCGACCATCGAGGAGGAGTGAACGGATAAAGGAGAAAAATGTCGACGAGAGCAACCTAAGTTAGGAGATGTCGCTGTTAGGGCTGGCGTCCTTCGCGCGAAGGGCAAACACGAGACGCTGGGATACGAGCATAGAACTCTTGATAGCAGCAGAGGGGGTTCGAAGGCAGGTGAAATCGAATCGATACGTAGCTCTGACCTTGCATCGAAGGGCTTAAACCTTCCGCAACCAGGTCGGATACCGATCGTGATCGTCGCGACACGGACGAGGCTGCGGCGGGATTAAGCGACTGTAAATAAAACAAACAAATTAAAGAACAATCACACTCTTTAATATCACTCTCTGACAAAAAAAATAAACAAGCAAAGGGATGTATCGACACGTAGAATTGGTTTATGTGAGCGTAGGCGACGAGGCGCCCGTACCCGACGACGGTATTAAACCGACCTTCACCGAACGACCGGTAATAAGGCAATCCGACGACGGTAACACCATCACCTTCGAATGCCGACTAGTCGGCGATCCGAAACCGAGTGTCAAGTGGTAAGATCATGCGTGTCCCCGTGCACGAGCAACCATCGCCGATCTCGACGCGACCAGCGATTCCTGGTCGATGTTTCGCCGGCAAATTTTGGGCGAACCGGCTTCGCGACCGGCCGATGGGACACTAAGAAAGTTTCGCGACAGCCTACTCTCAGAAACTCGAAGCTATTAATTAGATATTCATTCGGAACGATATTCTTCTTTGACGTTAATCAAGTTCCAACGCGAGGAAATCTACGCCGATTTTCGCGTCGATTTTAACCCTGTTTAACCCAGTTTTGTTCTCGAGAAAGTGGGATTAATAATTAATTCAATGCACTTGGAAGTGAGATAGCAAGTTCTAATAAAGGAAGCGATTTTGTAGAACGTTTAAATAATATTTGCAGATTTTTGGGTCTTAACAGTTCCAATTATAATGCATGATTGATCGAAGGAGTTTATCTAAAAATTTCTCGTAGAAACATTTTCGTACTATCAGGAATTGTTAAATAAAAAGTCAGGAACCAGTCGTTTTGACTGGTTCGGTAGTTCTACTATTAAATAAATCCAGTCTTGTAATTATTACAAAACAGTATACATCGATCGTAATTAAGACTCGGTAGATCTGATATTAAAAAGCTTCGCTAATCAACCATTCGCTTGAGAATCCGGCGACAATGAGAAAACTTAGAAGCAGCACGAACTTCCTCGGTTACTCGATAACAGTCAGTCTGCCTAAAATTGAGACAACAAGTTAACACTATACCGTCCGCAGATCTTAGATATGATTCTTTTGTTTGACGCATAATAGCTTGGAAATTTTAGATTTTAAAAAAGATTTCGAAGATGGCGGTAATATAAATACCTAAAATTAAGATAAGTCATTCGAGAATTTTCGCACTTAATTCTTAGTTAAATAAGCACAATACTATAGTTAGTTTGCTGCCTTTTAATACCCAAGAAATATAGTTCAAATGTTATTTCAGTTTTTTGAAATGGCACCAAAATGGTACCGCCGGCATACAACAGATAGTTTTTGCATGGCACCAGCGTGGTGCCACCGGACGGCATAGTGTTAATTACCATAAATCAGGTTCACCACATGCTATCCTATGAGATATAATAGAAAGATAGAAAAATCGAAAAGATAGAAAATTCGGGAAGATAAAAAACACCCTAACGTACAGAAGGATCCCAATCGTCTCATCGGCTGTTCGCGAAAAGTCGGTCGACCGCTCCTGTTTGCCGGGAAACATCCGGACCCGCATGCCTTTCGAGTATAGTCCTCGATTTCTTCCGAATGATCCGCGTACTTCCGATCGGCGTGTCGCGGTTTTTTGAGGAGTGTCGGGAGCATGCAGCACGTGATCTGACCCGTCCGATGATTAGGTATCACGGTACCGAAGAGGTGAGAGAAGGAGGAAGATTCAGCATGTCGCTGGAACTCGACCAGAAGCTGTACCACCTCGTCCGATTGAAGATCGACAACGTGGCGAAAGGGGACGCCGGCGAGTACAGAGCACTCGCGACGAACAAGCACGGACAGGGGGTGGCGACGATTAATCTCAACTTCGAGGGGGGCGACAAGCTAAAGTATGCATCCGACGATGAGCGAGTATCGTCGTGATCGATCCGCCGAAATTTTCCCACAGACTTTCCTTCTCGCGCAACGAAATTTCGGACTCGAAATTTCGTGTCGGCTTGTTGCAGAAGGGATTTCCGCTTTTTTGTTTTTTGTAAGCTGTCTACAGTAAAGTCTCCCTAACTGACGCTCAGATTCTGCAGAAAAACGGACAATTTCAGAAGAGGAGATACGATTACTCGAGCCTCCTTGTAGCTCGTTTTTATAGTCGTTGAAAGTTGGTAACTATAACAAACGAACCGCAAGACTCGAATAATCGTATCCCCTCTTCCGAAATTGTCCATTTTCGTGGACAATTCGAGCAACAATTAGAGAGACATTATTATATTAGGTCCAGTCATAAATAACTTCCGTTTCTTTATCAGACATTTATTTTGTTCTTTTTTCATCGGACATTTGTTTCGTTTCTTTTATCAGACCAGTAGTTCGTTTTTGTATCAGACATTTATTTCGTTTCTTTTATCAGATATTTATTTTATTTTATTTTTATCAGATGTTTATTTCGTTTTCTTTTATCAGACATTTATTTTGTTTTTTATTTATTTTTTGCTTTCTTTTTTATTTTACGTTTTAAACTCTTATCTATTTGGCGAAAGCTTAGATTCGTAACAGATAAAAGGAACAAGTAATGTCTCTCTAATTGACGCTTAGATTGCGCACGAAAATGGACAATTTGGGAAGAGGAGATGCGATTATTCGAGCTTTATGGATTGTTTTTATAGTAATGAATTGTCAACGATTATAAAAACGAGCTGTAAGGCTCGAATAATCGTGTCTCCTCTTCTCAAATTGTCCATTTTTGTGCACAATCTGAGCGTCAGTAAGGGAGACATTACTGTAGATCCTGCCCGGATGCATCGGAAGTTGTTGAAAAGAGGTTTGGAAATCAGTACAAGATAATACAGTTGAAAGAAGAACAATGATAACAAGTGAGCAAAAAAGACATTTAAAATACGGTACAATAGAGTAAAATACAAAACAAAAGTAATAGAAAAATAGTTAAACAGCGGATTTGATGCATTTATCATAGAAAATGATCAAGTCTGCGAGGATCAAAACTGTGAGAACATTAAAAAATCTACAAGGTTACTGTTATACTAATTTCAGCCCATTACGATCATCGAAAGAGGAAACACATTTGCATCTAATTTGTGTTTCTCTCAATTGATCCGTTTAATTTGTATTTCGCACGAAGATCCAGCAATAGCGTTAGAAACGCGATCGACAGGGAAGGAAACCGTGGGAAATTTTCCGTGATCCATTTCGTGTCGCGACGGTATGCCTCGTCGAACGGAGAAGAGGGTCTCTGTCCGGTGCAGGTCCGGTCTCCGACAAAGCCGGAGAACGGAACTGTCGGACGGTTGTGGTCTGACGAATCGCTTACACGCAGAATACCGGACGGTAAGCCGCCGCGTTTCCCGAAGAAACCGACGATCCGACAGGAGGGCGACATCCTGATTATGGAGTGTATCCTGGAAGCGCACCCGGTACCGGACATTACGTGGTACCAGGGACAAAAACCGATCACCGACAGCACCCGCGTCAAGATGTCGCGCAAGGCCACCGGAAAGGACACGTATTTGCTCACGCTCGAGATCTCGAATCCGACGAAGGCGGACGGCGGAAATTACCGGTGCAACGCGTTTAACAACTTCGGCGAGAGTAACGCCAACATCTCCCTCAACTTTCAAGGCAAGTCCCCCGACGACGATGCAACGCGGCGGAGTCTCTCGTTGGTTCAATTATTTCTCCCACTCTCTCTCCCTTTCCGTCTCTTTCTCTCTGCGTTTTTCGTGTTCCGATTTTTCATCGATTTTCCTCAACGCCTAGATCGTCGAGATCGCCGCGCTCGATGAGACGCGCGATTTAGCAATCTGGACGTGAACGTTCGAAGACTTTCAGGAATAGCAAGAAATGATCGATCTGAGATCGATTGCAATGTACAGTGGAGAATTCGATTATTATTACATATGTGTATAGGACGTGTATTCGAAGCGAAAGTTTGCAAAAGTCGGAAGTTCTAAAAATCGTCAGTCTATTAAATATTGTCAATATAATGAAGTATTATCAATATATTAAATATTTTCAATATAATGAAATATTATCAATATATTAAATATTATCAATATAATGAAATATTATCAAATGTTACAATATCAAATATT